CTTATAATAGTATAGGCGAGTAGTAGAAGGCTTCTTGGCACTATCTAGTACCTCTTTGATCGAGGGGAGATCCTCCACGCTGTCAAATGTAGTGTTTTCGTATCTGGATGGAGAACAGCGCCGGCATCTTGCGTGAGAAGATGTGGCAGAGGTGGAAGCCTGATCATATCCGAAGCCAACACTTGCAGTGTAGGAAACCATGCTTGTTGAGGCCAGTATGGTGCTATTAGTATGGCTTCTGATCTTGTCTGACGTAACTTGATGAGGATTCTCTGTACTGGAGGGATTGGAGGAAAGAGGTAGAGTAGGCCCTTGCTCCAAGGGATCATGAATGCGTCCCCCAGAGAGTCCATTCCACAACCTGCCCTGGAAGCATAAAGTCTGCATTTTTTGTTCAGACGAGTTGCAAACAGATCCACCCTGGGATATCCCCAGCGGTGGCAGAGGGAGGTGTATATCTCGTTGTCCAGCTCCCATTCATGTGATTGAGATGTCAGCCTGCTGAGTTTGTCTGCTGTCTTGTTGTCTGCAGTGGAAATGTGAATGGCTACTGGAAAGATATGGTGTTGGTAGCACCATTCCCACAGGTGAATTGTAGAAACAGAAGGGATTTGGAGTGTGTCCTGTCTTGTTTGTTGATGTACTACATGGCCATGGTGTTGTCGGTGACCAGCTGTACCCCACAACCATGTATTAGAGGTAGAAAGGCTCTGAACGCTTTTGTGACTGCTAGAAGCTCTAGATGATTGATGTGCAGGTTCCTGTCTTGTTGGGACCACAAAGCGTGAATCTGATGATGACCGCAATGTGCTCCCCAAGCAATGGAGCTGGCGTCCATTGTGACTTGGATTGTGAGTCGGAGAGGTCTGAAGGAACAGCCTATCATGAGATGTGGGAGGAAAGTCCACCACTGTAGTTGATGTGCAAGTTTCAGAGAAACACGAAGTCTTTTTCTTTGGCTATCATGAACGGGATTGAAGAGGGACAGAAACCACATTGTAAGGAGCGCATCTTTAGTCTTGCGTGGGCCAAGGCAGGTGTTGTGGATGCCATGAGTCCTAGAAGGTGTTGAGCCTTTTGAGCACATACCGTTTTGTTTGGTTTGAACTTGCGTACTGCAGTCTTTATCTTTTTGATTCTTTCTGAGGGAAGGAATAACCTACGTTGGAGTCCAGTCTGGCTCCTATATAATTTATGACTTTGGACGGTGTGAGAATTGTGGTTTTTTTTATTGATCGTGAGGCCTAGACTCTTTAGAGCAGGGATCAGGGAACTTTTTTACCTTCCTCCCCCCCCCCAATGTATATACATCAGCATTACCCCCTTGATTTGAAAGGAAGGAAATCATACATTATTTGAATTCAAAATCTTTTTGAATCTATTCAGAATTACTTTGAAAGCTTCAACTTACTTGAAAACTTCAGGTTTTGGAGAAATGATATTGCTTCATCTTGGATATGAGAGCATCAGTACTGGGGCTCTGCTCATCCTCATTACCCCCAGAATTTTCATTTTTATCCCATTTGGGATAATTTACCCCTGTTCCCTGACCACTGCTTTAGAGTGTGTAGAACGAAGTTGGTGTTTTTGATGGCTTGATGTCTGGATGGAGAGGCGATTAGCCAGTTGTCTATATACGGATAAACCTGGATTCCCTGTAGACGTAAGAATGCTGCCACTGGCGCCATGCACTTTGTGAATGTCCTTGGTGCTGTGGGCAACCTGAAGGGGAGAGCCAGGTACTGGTAAATGGTGTTCTGGAATACAAACCAAAGGTATTTTCTGTGGTTTGGATGGATTGTTACATGGAAGTAGGCATCTTTGAGATCTACTACCACAAACCAGTCCTTTTTTCTCAATAAGTGGATGATGGAGTCTAGGGTGTCCATCCTGAAGAGTTTTGCATGGAGGTACATGTTCAGCTCCCTTAGATCTAAGATTGGTCTGATCCCCCCGTCTTTCTTTGGGACTGCAAAGTAGCGAGAATAAAACCCGTTTTTCATATCTCTTCTGGGTACCTTTTGGATGGCATGTTTCTGTAACAGGGTGCAATTTTCCTCTTCTAGGACAGGGTTGAAGAGTTTGAATTTTACCTGTCCCAAAGGAGGATGTTCTATTAGTTCCAGCTGATATCCTGAGCGAATGATGTTCAGTACCCAGGCATCTGTGGTTATATCTGCCCAGTTTTGTAAGTCGTGTTGGATGGTTCCATCTGGTCAGAGGTAAGGGAAAGTCAAAGATAATGTTTTGATTTCTTTGCAGGAGGTTCATAAGATTGCCGACGTTGTGTGGACTGGGAGCGAAAAGCGGATGAAGAAGATGCTCCCTGTGATGATCTGGATGGACCTTGGCCTTTAAAGGGACGGAAGGATTGTGAAGATTGTGAGTATTGAGAGGATTGGGAATACTGTGAGTAAGGTTTACGCCACTGATATTTTGAAAATCTTGGTTGCTGTTCCACGGAATATAACTTGCCAGTTTTCTTCATTTTATGAAGTTCATCCAAGTTACTGTCTGTTTTTTCGTTGAAAAGGCCCATAGAATCAAAGGGCAGATTCTCTATTCTTGTTTTGAAATAGTCCATGATAATGGTGGACCTAAGCCAAGCGTGATGTCTGAGGGTGACGGCAGACATCAGAACCTTGGTGGCAGCAGCAGCAGCAGCATGACGTGTTGCTAGTCTCTAATGTTTTGAGACTGTTTGAGCCTCCTCGTAAGTGTTAATGAAACCTTGGCGTATGTCTTCAGGTGTTAATTTCAGAGCCGGGAGGATCCTCAACCATAGTTGTTTCTGGTAAGCGCTCAACACAGTTAAGTAATTTGTCACCCTGAGAAGGAAGAAAATTAACGAGTACATCTTCCTACCCAAAGCTTCCAACTTTCTCCCTTCCTTATTGGTTGGCGTAACATGAACTTTGGAGTTTGTTCTAGAGGAGCTTGTCTCCACAATTAAAGAATTGGGCACAAGATGCTTTAGAAGAAAATTGGTGTCCTCTCCATGGACCCAATAAAGATTCTCTGTACGTCTTGAAATCGGTGCAGAGGCAGATGGATGATTCCAAGCATCTTCTATGAGGTCCATAAGGGCAAGGATGAATGCCAGGCTAAGCGGTGGAGTGCGCTCTTGATTAATTTCACCGAAAATTAAGTCTTCAGTCGGTGGTTTAGTTTGTTGTGTGTCCAGCTTTAATGTCTTAGCCAATCTGGACAGCATTTGTATATAAGAGGAAAAGTCCTCAGATGGAGATGAGGGGTGAGGGTCAGCTGCATCTGAACCCATTATTTCTCCTTCAGGTAAATCATCAGCTGATGCCTCAGGATGAGTGTCATAATCAGGAGGATAGGAGGTTGCTGAGAAGTCTGCCTCTTCCTCCGATGTGGAAGGTGAGTGATGTCTTTTGTGATATTTCTCTATGGCAGTAGATGTGGACTTAGCATGTCTAGAAGATACTGTTACTGTTGACGCCGAAAAGGGTGGTATGGGTTCTTGCTGAGTCTGTGTAGTCCTGGGACGATGTATTCGTTTACCATTCTTACTGACGTCGACAATTTTTCAGTGTTGCCATCAACAGGGAGATGTAGAAATAGAAGAGGAGGATGTTGAGGAATATGAACGTCTCAATCTCTTCTTCTTTCTATGATGGTCTCTCAACGTCGAGGAGGATTCAGACTCGAAGTAATCCCGTCTACATCGGTGATGACGCTTCCTTCTGTCAGTTTCGGAGTCGTCAGAATCATAGTGTTTCTTATGTCGACATCGAGATGAACGATGAGAGAAGCGGTACCGGTCAGGAGTCAAATGCTTAGCCTTCTTAGTTCTTTTGCGTGGAGGCGAAGTCCGTCTTGAGAGAACTGATGCCAAAGAAGGAGCCCGGTGGATTCAGGGCTATCTGGGCCAGAGGCCAAACTTGTGGTGGCATGCACAAGTTGGCTCGGGGTTGGAGATGTCAGACCCACTGATAGTATTGGCTCCACTTGTCTAGGAGGTAGTGAAGCAGGTACCTCAGACATTGATTCCCGATCCCGGGAAGAGTCTTCTAAGATAGGAGAAGGCACCGATGCCGAGATTGGAGGCAACTGTTTGAGGGACTCTTTAGGTTTAGACAAACCCTTCGGTTTGGTTTGTTTGGTGCTCTTGGTAGAGGCAGAGGAGGATGCCTTTGACATCAAGGTGGAAGTTTTCTTTAAACCTGCAGATTTTTTGGCGGGTTTTTCTTTAACAACAGCCGAAGGCAACTGAGGAGAAGCTGCACAAACTTCAGAACCTGGTGTGGCAGAAGGTGAAGCAATTTCCATTTCTGACGGCTGAGATGCTGACAGAGTCTTATCCCACAGATGGCATTTTAGTCTCTGTTGGCGAGCTTTAATTGCTGCTTTTGTAAAATTTTTACAGTGCTTGCAATTGTCTGGCTGCTGAGACTCCCCAAGACAAAAAAGACAACAACTGTGTCCGCAGTGAAAGGGTAGCTTGCAGGAACAGATGATACAGTGGCTGAAGGGACCGAACCGGGACATAAGCAGGTTAGTAAATAGAGCAGTCTTACTGTTCTGGATTGGTAATCAACGGCACATGGCCCACTAATGAGCGGGAAATTGCCCGGAAGCAATAAATCCAAGCGGTAGGCAAGAGAATAGTCAAAGGCAGTCCATGGTCAGGGCAACAGATATGAATGAGGTCAAAAACAGTCCGTGGTCGAAAAAATACCGAAAATTTTTGAGAAAAATCCAAGAAATATAGTGAAGTTCAAGTGAGAGGTTCCTAGCCAGATGGCTAGAAAATTCTGAGAGGTCCAGCGCAGGCACTGATTTAAGCCTTGTGTGTGTATTCACAGAGACCACGCTGAAGAATGATCATTTTCTGTTTTACGACATCTAGCTGGTACCTTCTTGACATTTTGTGAATGATCCTGGCCACAAAATAGCCATTTAATGACTGTTGTTTTCTCAAAATTTCAAATGTGATTGTAAAGGTTCTGTGTCCTCAGAAGGTTCATACATACCTATTTCAGCTGGAGAGCCTGGAGGGCCTGGAGGGCCTGGAGATCCAGGATTGCCATATATGCCTGGATCACCTGGAATGCCTCGATATCCTTTTAGACCCGGCAAGCCAATCCCAGGCTGACCAGGTTCGCCTGGAAAACCCTTAAGGCCTGATGGGCCTGGTTCACCAGGATCCCCTAATTCACCTTTTATACCATCACCCTGTAAGGAAAGTGAAATACCATGAATTACTTACTACAATCTATTTTGGCCTTTACATCACCTGCTTCACTGCTTCATTAGTATATTGAGTTCTAAGACACTGCTGAATCTGTCTTCCAGGCCACAGCAATTAACAAAAGCTAGTATGGGTACTGTTGTCTGGACGGCTATTGAATCAACAAATATACAACTGAAGTCCAAATAAACAATAAATCAAAACATCAAATGCAACAAAACCAAAATTCAGGAACAGATTTTAAAATGGAATGCTTCAGACTTAATGAATTCATTAAATACTTGGCTGAATGCAAAAGTCTTTTCTAGGCACAAAAAGATACAAGGATGGCATTAAATGAATTTTTAATTTTTAATAGTAACATTTTTAGTTTTTAATGTTTACTTGCTTTTAATTATTCGACTGTATTTTAATTAGTGTATAGCTTAACCTTTTTTTAGTGTTAAGCGATTATGTTTTTAAATTTATGCCTTTTAATATTGTGATCCACTTTGGGTCCTCTTGTCAAAAGAAAGGCATCCTATAAATAAAGCAAGCAAACAAGGAAACAAATAATCCCATAATTGCATTATTCAAAATGCTCCTTCTCTGGTAACAATGCCATTTCATTCAGAGAGGATAACTGAATTAGGGTCTCAAAGGATGGCTTAATGTACAGACATGTGGGAGAAGGTGTGTGTGTGTGGGGGGGGTCTTAGGGGTAGATGGTCAAGTTAGTAAGGGAGTTAGACATCTTTTCCAACAGTTATGTCCTAAGACATTTAAGGCTTTAAAAACAACTACTAAAACACTGAATTGGGCCCATAAGTGAATGGGGAGCCAAATAAGCTCTCTTAAAAGTAACATGATATGCATGGATTTGGCTGCACTAGTAAAAACATGATGACCATATTCTACATTAGTTAACGTGTGCAGGGTTGTTGTGAGTGGCCCCTGCCGCTCCGTCCATGATGAGACCATAAGTACTGATAGAACATCACTTTTATTGCACTCACACAAAGAGAATCACAATGTCACAACAGCTCTTGCAACCTCAGGCCTGTCTTTGCCAGTGAGTCAGCGAGTTGTAGTTCTGAGTTGGCCCAGGACCTCTGGCCTGACCACACAGAAAGTCTGTACTTCTTGTGTGCTTGCCATACTCCAGCCCTGAGGTGACTCAGGACCCTCCAAAGGAGGAACAGAAAAAAGTCCCTGTGAACTCAGGCCCCTTCCCTGGGTAGCCAATAGTCCAGTCCCCACTCCAGGCCTAGCTCCTGCCCAAAGCCTCTGGTTAAAATTTCAGCATTATGCTAGCTCCTTAGTTCCCCAGGAGTTCTTTCACTCCTTAGGTAGTTAAGTGTGGCTTGCAGAGAATGTCCATTGAATAAAATTGCCCAAGCCCCAACAGGGGGCAGTCTCTCACCATTCTGGTGCTTCTCCCTCTAGCCCTTGACCTTTGCAAGAGTGAAGAGTTGGGTGGCAGGGCTGGGTCCATGTAACTAAAGCTCTGACAGCAGCAGGTGCCTAAGCCAGCTAGGCTTTAAGTTCGGTGTCAGAATCAAGCAGAGGGTGAGGATTGAAGACAAGGTGAAAGGAGTTCCCCTGAATTTGCAGCCATCCTGCCTCCTAATCCTTGCTTCCTGGTCTCACCCTGATAGCTTTTGTGGAACAGGGCTACACACCTTCATGACCTTCTCCCCCATCTCCCTCTGGCAACATGCCTTTGTCTTCTGCTGCTGTTGTTGCCAGGCATTGACGTGCATCTTCCTATTCTTCCTCAGAGTCTTTCTGTTCCTCCTGGCTCTCTCTTATTTCTAGTATGGCCAAGGCTGCAGCTGTGCTTGTGGGGGTGTGACTGGTGTTTTCCCTACTCCAGGCCCCAAGTGTTCTGCATGCAGATAACATTCTTCCCTGACTTGTCAAGGGGGGCTGAACACTGGCACGACCACAGCTGGCCAGCTGACTGTAGCTGGCTCATAGCTGTCTTCAAAGACAGTCTTAAAGGTTACAAGAGCATGGATCATCATGAGCAAGCTCCCCCTTGTACAGGAATGGACACACCTAAGCTTCCAGGGACTTTTATTGCACTCACACAAAGGGAATCACAATGTCACAACAGCTCTTGCAACCTCAGGCCTGTCTTTGCCAGTGAGTCAGCGAGTTGTAGTTCTGAGTTGGCCCAGGACCTCTGGCCTGACCAGTACTTAGGAGTACTCCCAAGTTGCCAACATCTACTGTCCCAACAAATGGGAAAAGAGAAATTCATTTGAAATAAGGTATTGGATAATTCATGGATGCCATAGGCCACCAGAAGAAGAAGTAAGCAGGTAATAGATAAGTTGAGCCCAAACACTCTCAAGAAGGAAAAATGAGGCTATTCAGTGAGAAGGCAAGATTCACTGGAAAAAGACAATAGTGTTGGGAAAAGTTGAATGCAGCAGGAAAAGAGGAAGACCAAGTACGATATGGTTTGACTCAATAAAGAAAGCCATGGTCTTTCATTTGCAAGACTTGATCCAGTTCACTGCATATTACAGATACCAGCTTGCCACTCTTTTCTTCTTCTTCTTTCTCCAAACCTTTATTGGCATAAATACAGCTGGGATTACTAACAATAAACACAACGGGTTATAACTTGGAAGTTAATTTAAGAATCTCAAGCAGAAAAATAGCGACAGCTTCAGTGATACGGGAGGAAGAATCATTCAGAAAAATCTCAGGGGTGTTCGACAGGGAAGATAACCAGGGTTCTAGTAGTGCCTTACGAATGGAAAAATGAACTGGGCAGGAAAACAGTATATGATCAAGTGTATCCGGAACCAAATGGCAGAACAGGCATAATCGATCCTCTTTAGGAATATTTGCAAATCGACCGGCGTGGTTCGCTGAGGGAAAAATGTATAAATACCAGCTTGCCATCTTCACAGCCACACCTAATATTAATCAGAAGAAGAAATAGAACTGAAAAGTTCTGCATACTGATTCTTTTTTCTTCTGTATATTGCCATAAGAAAGGAGGTATGGCTACTTACTGGAGGCCCAGGAAGTCCTGGTAAACCATCTACACCGTCCCTGCCCGGTAAGCCGTCTTCTCCTTTAGTTCCATGAATCCCTGGATCTCCTTGGTCTCCTTTGGCACCTGAAGAATATGTTCTCTGTGAGACAAAATCATAGGAGATTTGCAGATCTGCAAAGACTTTTTCAAAAATGATATTTCATACCATACCTTTTGTAGTAACATATTGAGAATCTCCTTTCAGCCCTGGTTGTCCAGGAGGTCCAGGTGCACCAGGTAATCCCTGTTGGGCAGTATTTGAAGACTCTAATTAATCACAGTCACCTTGGTAATATGCAAATATGTATGGGAAAGTTCTTTTCTATTTTTGATTGCAGGAATAGACTATAAGGTTCACATAACTGAAAAACGCCAAGAAAAGCTGTTTCAAGGAGTGAGAAAAGGAAACAATACCCATTTTCTACTTAGTATACATTTATAACAGGTCTTGTATGTATGTAGGAGAAATATGGGAGAAATGGCTCTGTCATAGGCAGAGTATGTTAGGCAGGGTTAAAAGTATGCAATTTTATGGTAAAATAATCTGAGTGCTTAAAATATGATGGAAACAAGAGACAGAAGGCTTGGAGAAGAACCGTGAACTCTGCACAGCTTCACATCTGATGGCTGATCCCTCAAAGCTGCAAGGTGTAGTTTCTTAGCACTAACACCTAGAGAAGTGGAAGACTATGGGACAGGACATGTGCTACACTTTTCCCCCCACACATCCATTGTTCTAAAGACACTATGGTAGAGAAAAATATAGCTTAGCTATTCATTGTACATAAATAACCTCATGGCACAGTTGTTAAACTGTGGTACTGAAGCTAGGATTCTGCTCACAACTTGAGTTCAATCTCATATAGCTGGCTCAAGGTTGACTCAGTCATCCATCCTTCTGAGGTGAGTAAATTAAGTACCCACCTGGCTGGGGGCAATTTATCACCTATGTAATTAAGTGCCCAGAAAGTTCTTTACATGCTATGCTTTGTTTTTAACTATAAAGGAGTAGTTCACATTACATATGTTCATTTTTCTATTTTTTCAGCCAATGTAAAGAAAATTTTTCTAAATATGTAAATGAAAAGCTATCGCCTATGGAAATAAAAGTAAAACAAAGGTAAACAAGTTTCAGCCATGTAGTATGTTGGGAAATATTTAGATCAGAAGCTACACTCTGTGATTTCACTGCATGTAGACATTCAGTTTCTGTCTATGCAACTGCAAGGAGGATAATCTGTCCTCCTTTCTGACGCTACCGTGCACTCTAGAAAAATGCCAAAACATGCTCTGGGAAGCACCAGAGTTGTGGGGAAGAAGAAGTGGATGCTATGTGGATGTTCCCATTGGATTTAGGTCATGAAACAAAGTATGCTGGGCACTAAGCTTTGCCCACCGGCAAGCTCCTTTCCCCCATCTCCTTTAATAATGCCTCTTCATTTGGTAGCCTACTACTACCATCTTAAGGAGTAGGTACTTGGTAAGAAAATGAAGATCAAATGCAAGATGCTTCCGTTAAAAAGAAATATCTGAATCTGCCCTAAATTAGCATTTCCTGCAAACAGTGACCCAAAAAAAGTGAGAGGTTCCTTCACTGTACATGGACAATTTTGAGGGGTAGGGAAAGGCAAAGATTGTTTAGAAAAATACTAGGAAATAATTTGGCTTCCAAAACTTTGATCATACAATATGAAAGTCATCATGCCGGTTAACTTTAGGGAAGGACAATGGAATGGGATGATTCTGGACTTTCAGTCAGGGGCAGTTTTTTTCTTCACCCTCAGATTTGAGGTGGGGTCTTCTAATAAGGAATTGTTCTCAAAACAAGATAATATATTATATTATA